ATGTATGTATGTATTTATGTATGTATGTATGTATGTATGTATGTATGTATGTATGTGTGCGTGTACGTGTGTATATGTGCATGTATGTATGTATGTATGTATGTATGTATGTATGTCTGCATGTATGCATGCACGTGACCCATGTGTGCATGCATGCATGTATGCATGCATGCATGTACGTACGTACGTACGTACGTACGTACGTACGTACGTATGCTTGTTTGCATGTATGCATGTATGGATGGATGGATGTATGTATGCATGTATGTGTATATGTATGTATGCATATCTAGGTATGTACGCAACTATGCATGTATGCATGCATGCATGTATGCAGGCATCTATTCATAGTTTGCCACCTTTGTGCACAATCTCTGTGGCGCAATCTATGTGTTGCACTGGAGGCGGTGCACTATAGGTTCTGCAATCTATGTCCTGCAGTCCAGGCGGCGACGGGGCGGTGGCTGATAGCACGGAGCCGCCAGACCGACCCCAAACCCATACGACGGGTGGCGACGACTGCGGCGACGGGGCGGTGGCTGATTACACGGAGCCGCCAGACTCGCAGTCAGGCCCAGACGACGGGCGGCGACGAGGCCGCGACGGGGCGGCGACGGCGAGCATGGAGCCGCCGGACCGACAATCAGGCCCAGACGACGGGCGGCGACGAGGCGGCGACGGGTTGGCGACGGCGAGCACAGAGCCGCCAGACCCACATACAGGGCAAGTTCCTGAGAAGAGAATTCATGACCCCTGAGTGCAAGGACTGGTTGGGCAACTTTGCAATGCTTTTCCAATCGGAGTGTCTTCGGTGTCTCAAAGCGGTGCTGCCGCTGCAGCGCTGGCCTCTTTGCAGGATCGGCGCTTTGCTCGTGTCGCTCAGGATGGCGCTCTCGCAACAGCGTGGGCCACATTTCCGGATCCGGGAGCTCCGAAAGCGTCCTCGCTGTTGCAGCCCTACGTATTCCTTTTCCCTCTTGCGTCTCTCCCTGGCCATCCTGCTCCGCCCGGCCCTCGTGCTCCTGCTGCCGCTGTTCCTCCTCCATCTCCTCCTCCCTCCTCCTCCTCCTCCTCCTCCTCCTCCTCCTCCTCCTCCTCCTCCCTCCCTCCTCCTCCTCCTCCTCCTCCTCCTCCTCCTCCTCCTCCACCCTCCTCCTCCTCCTCCTCCTCCTCCTCCTCCTCCTCCTCCTCTCGCCCCTGCTCGTCCTCTTGCTCATCCGCCGCCTCCCCCACTGTACACAGCTCCCCTCTCACATTGCGCGTGACTCGATGGGGCCCGTGGCGGGTCGCAAGTCTACTGCGATACCCGTCGGCGGATCGAGACACTTCATCGCAATGGTAAGACTCAGGTGGGTGGGAGGGGTAGAATGTCAGATGTGGCGCGAGCGCACGAGGCTTGCCCCTCCCCCTCCCCATCTTCTCTCTCCCGCCCCCCCTCCCGCCTTCTTCACCCCCCTCCTCCCACAGTTACTCCATATGAATACGGCTCCTCTTTCGCGTATCCCGCCCTCTTTGTATATCGTCTCCCACACCGGAAATTACCCGTTGTTTATGGCACATCTTGTTGATGTGTTCTTCCTCGTTTGCCCTTCCCCTCCCCACCAGGGCAGTACGAGGTTGCATGACATCACTTACGAGCTGTTATACGACCCTCCTCAGCCGAGGACTCACCACGAGAATGGTGTTTTCCACAAGGCGGCGAAGGAACTCACAAGGTGGCAGAGAATGGTGATGTCCCAACTGCCATGGCGAACGCTACCCATTGACGGGGACTGGAGGCGAGAAACGTCATGGAACTTGGCATGGACCTCGCTGTGTAGAATTGGGCGACATCTCGCACTCGGGAGCGACGGCGACACGGAACGGGCGAGTTGATGCGTCTGTTGTTGCTGGACAAGAGAGTGATGTGCCCAACGACCTTCGCACGAGAACGCATGCTACCCATCGACTACGCCAGTGACAGGACACACTACAGTGCCGTTTTTAATACATGCTCCGCTTGCGGATCATGTATTAAGAATGCAGGGATTCAGTACTAAAAACAACGATTAGTTCATGCATAATTTTATTCCCAAATTAGTTAGTATTAAAAGTACAATATGTTTACACATCCTATGTATTAAACCCTGCCCTGTATTGACTACCAGTTCATGCCACACGGTTGGCAAGACATATTCATGTTTCGCCAGTCGAGCCCTGGGCCCAGCCCCCGCTCTCGAGAATTCAGACGCACCTTGCCACATTGATGTTCAGGTCGCCTCTTGGTTCGGAGCCGGTGCAGCTTGTGTTTTTTGTTTCCAAGCCCGTTTCTGGTTTTTCCTTCGCTCGTCCTCGGTGGTGTTGGGTGTGGGCGTAGTTGCAGTTCGACCCAGCTGGCCGTCGGATAGGATGACCGCCCCTGCGCGCATTCCTCTTTCTTGTCCACGCGGCGGAGGGTCGACGAACGTTTCCTCTTAATGTACAACGGGCCGGGTGAAAAAAGGACCAGCTATTCCAAAGCATTATTTCTATGTATTAGATATTCGTGTTTCGGGCACGAATATGTCATGCATACTTGCGTTTTTGAAGAATGTAACCTTGATGCTTATATACATCGTCCGTGCTTTTGAAATACCATTTATTTCTTGTATATTTGTTTTAGAACGGTCCGTCGTCAATTCGTTTCGGCCATGTGATGTAGGGACCTCGTCGCCGCGGGAGGGCGCACGGCCACAGTGGCAGTGGGCTCAACCGAGGCGGAGGCACATACGCAATCGGTGATTGAATGGCGCGGAGAAAACATGCAAACGCCACGCGCGTTTGCAGCCAAGAGTGAACGCGAGGTCTGCGCGGGGCCATTGCAGTCGTGTTCCACGCGAGGGTGTGGACCGGGACATAGTTGTCCTAATGAGCCCCGCATTGCTCTAAAGCGGGGTGGGGCCTCCGATCTCATCTGTTACTTCGCTGTGGTACATTTGGGGGGGTCTGCACGACGCTGCAAGCGGTGCGAGGAGTCTCCCTGCGAGACCACCTACCTCTGCTGCTGGAGATGCGATGTGAAAAGGAGAACAACACTTAGGCGAGCTACCTCCAGCCCCCGCTCCTCGACGTCACAGGGGTGCGATTATGCTGGCTATCTTGGGAGGCGAAGGGGAAGCATATTCTCTGGCAAGTGTGATTGCTCAGTTGGGCCCATCGGACTCTACAGTGCGCGACTTGTTTGGGAAATCCACACCCGGCAAAGTCTTGGAGGCGGCGGCGGTACTGGTGCGCACCGTCGGCATCAGGCAGTTTGCAAGGCCTCCACTGCCACCACGCGCCCAGCGATGAACGGCGAGCGGCACTCAGGCCACCCAGCTCACACACGACGGACTTAGACAAAATGTAGAAGTTGTTCAATGATCTCTCTCCCATCCTCAGAGGCAGCGGAGGATGGATGTGGTGGCACCAAGGGGCATGTTGGCCCTGCAGGTTCAAAAAGCGTGGAGATGGTGACTGATCCATGAGGCAGCTCGATCATCTCGACAGGCAGCGCGATGCATACTCGAGGCTGGCACCGTGGCGGACACAGGCTGAGCGTCGCGATGTTCTGTGAAGAAGTTTAGATGCACGTGTAGAAATTTGCCAGAGGTCGAGGCGGCACGCACGCAGGGAGGATCGATTGGACAATTGAGGCAACAGAGATCGACGGTGACAAACCCAAGCTCTGCGGCGCGGAAGGGGGGCGGGCGGGCGATCGAGGCGGCCGAGGACTGCGAGGAGCTGGTCACATCTTTCAGGCAAGCTACAAACATTCGATCGGTTTCCACAGACACCAGCTGAATTGTGAAAGTTGCGCCCCTCGGCAAGTAACGCGTGGAGGCCTTGGGGGGGGGCCTCGGAGCTCAAACCGAAAACGGCGCGCGCGAGCGCCGTCGCATTGCTTGCGTTGCTGGGGTCGACGAAGATGCGGACTATCACTGAGAGCCCGTTGCGCTGGTCTCGGGATACGGGGCGCGGCCTGTCGAAGGACCAGCCAAATCTGCAGTTTTCGGGGTGCGGGCGGTCCACTCGCTGTCGGCTATCAGCGCGGCTCTCTTCGCTCAGCGGCTTCGGGCCCGGGCGCGGGCTGAAGCTCTCGGCCGAGCGGCGCGAAGGAGCTCTACTCGTGACGCAAGGACTTGCGTGATGCTCAGGCTGGATAAAATCAGCTTCGCAGCCTCGATGAAGGACCTGTCGAGCGATTTCGGCAGCGCGCTCTGGCGTGCATTCGCTCGCGCCGCGGAGGGGGTCCACGCTCTGGAATGGCCGCGACAAGGGCGGCGGCAACGGGATGGTGCGACACGAGGGTCGCTTCTACATGAAGCTCGTGGTGGGCGGACTCACGGGCTACCCTTTCTTTCATTTTGGCTGCCTTCGTGGGGGCCCTCGTCGAGCGTGTGCAGACCTGTCCCGCCGCGTTGGCAATGTTTTCCGGGGCCTGTGACGCGGGGCCGTTATTGGGCCGAGGACGACGACCTCTTCGCATTGCCCGCGCGCGCGCTCTTCGCCGAACGATCCTATTCCTCGTCGACATCTCGATCTCCGAGGCGGTCTTCACGCAGGCGCGGGCGCGGGTGCGACGTGCGGGCACAGTCGCAGGCGACGTTTTAGATGTTGCTCGGCACTTGGGCCCGGTGGTTTCGCCCTACCAGGCTACCGCGCAGGCGCCTTGTTTGAGTGCGCATCAGTGTATATAGATGGACGCGCGCGTCGCCGAGCTGGGCATAGTCGCCGCGCGTGGAAAGGGCTTCCTGGGGCGCGCCGATGCATCGCCGTGCCCTGACAGCCGCGCAGATATCCTCTCGCTGGCAGGTGGCGCCGCGCATGATCGAGCTCCAGTCGAGGCGCCCGCCGCAGCGGCCGGCCCGGGCTAGGCGCCCTGGGGGGGGATGCAAGAAGATGTTGGCGGCGCCTGCTTCGCTGCTTCACGTCGGAGCGGGGGCCTCCGACCCTCGCGCCTGGAGAGCGATTCGTCGCCCAGCCCCCCGCGCGCCCCGCAGATGCGCTCCGACATTCGCGATGCCGCCGCCATGTTGCCCGACCATGGTGACCTGTTGTTCGGCGCGACGATGCGCCCCTGGAGCTTCTGCGGAATGAGGGAGGGCGCGGCCAGGGAGCTCCTCGATCGAATTCGCTGAGTATTGGGCATCCACCTGCTCCGCCCCCCCCCCCCCCCGGGGCTCGACGGCCAGCTGCGCGGGGGGGGCGGGGGGCGGGGGGGCGAGGCCGAGGGGGGGCGCGCGCGGATCGACGGCGCCCACCTCTGCGCGTGCACTCGCGATGGGGCGCTTCGCGGGGCTTGCTTCGCGATTGCGAAGTGACTCTCGGAACGCGGCGCCGGCGCGGCGCGAGGAATCTGGCGCGCCCCTTCGCGCCCCCTAGCGCGGGATAAGTATGTCATGGGGCGTTTTCTATTCAGGTCGCGGCTAGCCGGCGGCTGCAGAGCGCTACGTCGATGGGGCCATTTTGATCGTCGCCTGGAACCTCGACTAAGGGCTCCAGCAAGCCTGTGCGTGACAAGCGCCGCTTGCGCGATTTCAGCGGGGCCAGTTAGCTGCGCCGATTTGCGCGCGCATCTCGTTTCGCATTTGCCTTCCCGGGTCATGCCTGCGAGGGGCCGCGAGGGCCATCTCCCCGAGCGCAGCGACGACGTCGGACATCCCCGCGCCGCTGGCCTGGGGCTTCCCGCGAGACGACCAACCCGCGCGTCGAGGGCCGCAGCCGAGAAGACCAGGAAGCCCGAGAGGGGCCCAATCGACGCGATGGCCAACGGCATGGCGAAGTTGGCGATGGGCATCGAGCGCGGGATGACGACGTTGGAGAGCGTCGCCGAGCGCGCCTCTTTCACGTGCGAGGGCAAGGACATCCCCGGGCAGGCTTGCGTCAGCAACAGCTAGCAGCGCGGCGACGCGTCTAGATCCATGCGAGAAAAAGAATAGAGAGGCGAGCCGGTCGACTGGCAATCAGAGGCCTTCTTTTCGTAGTTTGTTCGATCGCGCTCGTTGTCCAGAGGGGCATCGACAAAACGTCTGCAATCGGAGACTCGCCAAAAGAGGGCGGCAATGTGGCGTCGGCGAGTTTCGGGCGGCCTCGGCGGACAAGCAGCAGTCTTGACAGGTGGCCACATTCGTTCCACAGTGCAAGTGCAAGAAAACTTGCCCGGACGAAGTGGTCAAGAGAGTTTACAGTCTTGCCTTCGACGCCCAGGACGCCGAGGCCGCTAGGGCTCCGTGTTCTATATTTCTGGAGTACTCCACCCCGATCGAGAAGGTAGTGCCAGTCCCAGGGGGTGCGCCCAGGTGCCAAACGGAGAGGTGGACCCGTTCGCAAATCAAGCGCTCAAAGACGGGCCGGATATGAAGATTCCAAATCAGCGATTTCCTTCCCAGGTTGCCAGTTTCGCAACCAGCCAGAGACGAATCGGACATGAGAGATTCCAGTCATGCCTGTTCTGCCCTGGAGCCAGGCATTCCCCGCCAGGACCTCGCTCCCAGGCAAGATGTCAGCACTGTAGCTAGCTGACCACGCCGCCCGGAGAACAGCCACCCATGTACGTTCGTGTTTGAGGCAGGCCGAGTCTGCATCAGTTGTGACTGGCGCTGCTCTGCCTCGCGTAAATCAGTTCTTCTTAACTTTTGGTCGACAGCAAGAGGCGTCGTTCCTAGTGGTGCGATGCAGCAGGGCCGGTCTACTACGATATTTTTTGTTTTGTGAATCCCCCGCCATAGCGACGGCGTCCTCCCCGTGCTGTGCCAGCAACCGTTGTCCACCTCCTCCTCCTCCTCCGTCTCCTCCTCGTCCTCCTCCACACCTTTTCCCTCCTCTTCCTCCTCCTCCTCCTCCTCCTCCTTCTCCTCCTCCTTTTCCTCCTCCTCCTCCTCCTCCTCCTCTTTCCTCCCTCGGGGGGGGGGCTACCCCTCCCCCCCATCCCCCCCTCCCCTCTCCCCCTTCGGCGCCGCCGCCCCCGCCGCCGAGCTCGGCGCCGCCCCCGCCCGTGCTGCCGCCCCCGCCGCCCTCCCCGGCCGCGGCGCCCGGCGGCCCGCCGGCCTCGTCGCCGCCGCCGGTGCCCTCCTCGGCGGGCGGGGGCCGCGGGCGAGCCGTCGTTCCGCACCTCTTCGTCGTCGTTGTCGTCGTCGTCGTCCTCCTCCCCTCCTCATCCTCCTCCTCCTCCTCCTCCTCCTCCTCCTCCTCCTGCTCGTCCTCCTCTTCCTCCTCCTCGTCCTCCTCTCCTTCGTCCACCTTCTCCTCATTCCTCCTTCCCTCCCTCCCTCCTCCTTTCCCTCCTCCTCATTACGTTCCTCCTCCTCCTCCTGCTCCTCGTCCTCCTCCTCCTCCTCCTCCTCCTCTTCCTCTTCCTGCTAATCGTATTATTTATCCTTCTCCTCCTGCCTGCTCCTCCTCCTCCGCCCTCTCTTCCTTCAATTTCCTCCCTTCCTCTCATTTCTCCCTCCCCCTCCACGCCCTCATGCTGTGGCGTCAGGGTCTGTCAGACGCCCCCCCCTCCCCCACGGGCGTTCGCCCCTGTGTGTGTGAGAGGGAGAGAAGGAGAGAGAGAGAGAGAGAAAAAAAAACAAAAAAAGAGGGAGAACACAAACGAAACTGATATATACATATATATATATAATATAGAGAGAGAGACAGAGAGAGAGAGAGAGAGGGAGAGAGAGAGAGAGAGAGAGAGAAACAGCGGTGTTGGGGGCCGTGGGCAGAGGGGGTGCCAAGGTTGCGTTTGGGGTGGGCGGAAGAGCGCTGCCAGGCATGCCGCGCAGCCCCTGTGCCGCCCTGCGGCGGGTCACTGTGTGAGCGGGGGCATCGTCCTCGCTTGTGGGGGCCGTGAGACGTGCGGCCCAAGGGCGAGGGCGGATGGGCAGGGCGCAGGTGGCAGTCGTGATGCTGCTGGTCACAGTGGCGGTCGTGGCGTCGTGTTGCTGCTACTGGTCAGAGTCATGGCATCGTGATGCTGTTGCTGGTCGCTGGGTAGGGCGTCGGGTGGGGCGCGGAGTATGGCGTCGTGGTGGTGCTGATGTCGGTCTCAGTCGTGGTGGTAGTGGTGCTGCTGGTCGCAGTCGCAGTGCGAGTTGCGATTTGCTGGTCGCTGTCGCGGTGGTGCTGCTGGTCGTAGTGGTGGTGGGATGGTTGGTGGGCGCAGTCATGCTGCTCGTCGTCGTGGTGGTGGTGCTGGTCGAGGTCTCGGTGGTAGTGCTCTTGATCGCCGTCGTGGAGCTCGCAATGGTGCTGCTGGCCTCAGCCCCTGTTGCTGCTACTCATTCGCCGATGTGGAGCGTCTGTAGCCAGCAGTCCGTCCAAAATCCGCCTGTAGGGGGACATGCCCGACATTCAGTCTGGGCCTCCGCCCCCAGGACCCGCTCACCGCCCCGCGCTTGCCCTCTCTCTCTCTGACGGCCCCCAGGGGGCCGCTGCAAGGGCCCCATTTTTAGGGGCCCCATTATAGGCAGCTTCCCCGCGGTGCTCCTCGCCACCGCGCGAGGGGGTTGGGGCCCCCGGACCTCAGTGGGCCCTGGAATCGGCAGGGCCGTTTTTCCACCGTTTCCGAAAAAGTGCCCCTTGAAAGTGGCAACGGCGAAAAAAGACGGCGACCAGAAACGGCAACAACAAAAACGGCTCCAGGATTGGAGCAGGAGCCGGAACCAGTAAAAAGTGGGCGTCGGAACCAGCAACAAAAACGGCAAAAAAACGGCCCTGTCGTTTCCAGGGCCCACTACGCCCTGGACCCTGGACCTGCCCCCAGGAGTGCGCCCTGGCGAGGCCCGCGGCGGCTTGGACGCCCGCGGAGGCCCCAGGACGCCCGAGGAGCAAGAATGCCGGATCATGAATACGCTCGCGTCGGCCCTGTCCCTCTATGGGAGGGATTTTCAAAAATGGTCACAAGAATAGTCTGGGGACGAGGTCTCGAGTATTGTTTGGCTCTTTTGGAGCATGTGCAAAATCGTCCGACATCCGCCTATGGGAGGCGCTCCCCCGAGATACTGGCGTTGCAGTTTTTTGTCGCGACGGGCGTTCCCGCTTCTTTCTTGCGGGCCCCCGGGACCCTTCACAGGTCGATCCGGGTCGAACAGTGGCGCAGAAAGCTGCGGTCTGGGGCTGCGCTGTGGATCCCGGTCGAGCAACGGCGCAGGAAGGTGCGGTCTGGGGCCCGGGCGTGATTTGTGTGCGATGTGGCCACTTTTGTTCGGCAGCGTCGGATCGCAGGGTCGGGTCCCGGCTCACGATGTTCCAACCTATTTCAGCCGTGATCGCCAGAAAGAATGTCGAACACCACAGAAATACCGAAACTCGAGAGGGTCCACGTGTCGGGCCCTGGGAGACACTCGTCCTGCACTGTTTCGGCACTGTTTCGACACCCTTTCGGCACTTCTCCGGGCGCTCGAAATTATTTTCGGCATGTGGTCCTTAAGTACGATGTGAGCGACATAAGTCCTGGCTCGGCTCTTCGCCGGCCGTCAGGGGCGACTCGGGCAATACAGTGCCGTTTTTCATACATGCTCCGCGTGCGGATCATGTATTAAACATGCAGGGACTTAGTATTACAAACAACGATGAGTTCATGCATGAATTTATTCATAAATTAGTCATGTACTAAAATCAAATATCTGTAAAATCCTATGTCTTAAAACTGCCCTGTACCCTGGCACGCTCCCGGACGGGGCGCGGAGCGAGCCCGAAAACGCCAGACCCTCGGAGATCTGTGCCAGGCGGCGGGGCGCCTCAGCGAAGACAGGGCAGCACTCGGTTCCCCGAGGCCCAGAGAGCCTCGAGCCTCGAGCGTCGGATCGCAGGGCCGGGTCCTGGCTCGGCTCTCCGCCGGCCGTTATAGGGGGCGACAAGGGCAGTGCCCTGGCCCTCTGCACGAACGAAGTGGGCACGGCAAGAATGGGTACTATGCCCAACAGCGGATCTGGATCATTTGGAACAGGACTCGCTGTCCACGCCGCCGCGGCCTGTGTCCATTCGAGACAGAAGGCCGCCTGCCCAACAGCGGCCGCTGTTGGTTTGGGGCAACCTTTGTTAATGGGCACTGTACCCATTCTTTCCGTGCCCATTTCGGGCGTCCAAACTGGCACGCTCCTCCCAGACGAAGGGCGCGGGGCGAGCCCGAGAGAGAGCCAGAGGCCCTCGGAGATCCGGGCCGGGCGGCGGGGCGCCTCGGCGGAGACAGGGCAGCGCTCGGCTCCCAGAGACCTACGGGCTCTCTAGGTCCTTGGGGGTTGTGCTCGAGGTCCTCCAGGATCTAGTTGGGACACGAAGAATGACACAACACATAGCAACTCGGAGGTCCGCGCGGGTTTCTCGGATCGGCGCTCGGGCCCCCTGGCGGCGCCTCCGGTGCCGCCCCTGGCGCGCTCCGCGCGCCAGGGAGGGGGGTCCAGCGCCGTTCCGAGAAATCCACGCGGACCCCCGAGCTTTGATGTCTACGCCCTCTTTTGCCCCCCCCTGTCTGGGTCCTGGGGCCTCGAGCCGCGAGCCTGGGAGCCCCCTCTCGCGGTCTTCGACCCTCGACCCTCGATGCCCTCGGGCCACATCGGGGGACGAAATCTATACATATCCACTGCTCCCTGGCCAGGCCCATCCTGAACCCAGGAGCTGTGTATACGCCCTCCTGGCCAAACCAGGAGGGCGTGGCGTATACGCAGCTGCTGTGTTCGGGATGGGCCTGGCCAGGGAGCAGTGGATACGTATAGATTGCGTGCCGCCGGCGAAGAGTGTAATTTACACGCCCCCGCCCCGCGGGCAGGGCGGCGTCGGGGCCCGGCCCTCGCTCCCGCTCTACGCAAGTCGGGCCTGTCCCCCTACAGGGGGATTTTCGACGAGAAATAGAAGATCTCCAAACCTATTCCAAAAAAGGTCCAAAATATACAAAAAAACAGTCCCCAGACTATTTCCGGAATATTTTTCGATTTTATTCTGGGGGTATTTTGATTTTTCGTCGACAATCCCCCTGTAGGGGGACAGGCCCGACTTGACGCTATGCTCAGCCGGGCCGCCCTGCGGTGCGTCCGGACCCGGATTTTTCTCCATGGCGCACCCGGCCGCGTGGCGACGGGGGCCTCGCAGCGGGGGCGGCAGAGAGGGGGGCGGTCGCCCGTCGCAGCGCTGCACGCACGCTCCGAAGCGTCGCTGGACACGGGTCCTCCACGATATCTGCTCATGGGAGCCTTGGGCGGTGGCATTGAAATCAGCTTTTCCTGCATGTGGACAGCGTGGGGGCCACATTTGGCCCATCCTCCCGCTCCTCCTCTCCCATCCTGTCCCCCCTCCCCCTCCTCGCTCTCCCTATGGCCCCCACGAGTCCCGTCCAAGTCTGGTCCAACTCTGGCCCAAATTTGTTCCAAATCCGGTCCAGATCAGGCCCAAATTGGACAGTGCTTACCAGCCTGGAACATATCCCTCTCCCTATGCTGGGCACCTCCTCATCACGATGCCAATCTTAGGGATTCCCTTATTTTTTGAGGGCGAATCCCTGAGATTGTCGTCGGCGTGCCAATCTTAGGGGTAGGGATACGTTCGAGGCTGGTAAAGTGCCGGGGGCCACGCGGGCTCCCATGGAACGGGCACCAAAGGTCCTCCACGCGCCTGCGCGCGCGCTCGGCGCCCAACAACTGCTCGGGCGCGCGCGCGCCCCCGCCCCGCGGTGCAAGGGGGCACGGGCCCGCAACGGACACGCTCCATGGGATCCCCCCAGATTTCTGGGGAGCCACGCTGTGAATAGAGCACGACGTCGGATGCCTGGGAGGATGGATCGGGGGTCGGGGGCGGCAAAGAGGGGGGGTGATGCCTAGGGGGGGGTGGATATCATGGCGGGGGCCATGAAATCCCCCCAGATCTCATGGCGCCTCTTCTTGCTTCAGTGTGCCCCCGGCGCCCCCCTGGGCCGCGCACACATGCCGCCGGCCACGGTTTGCGCCCCCGCCTCTTGGACGCCCCCCCCCCCCTTGGCCGCCCCCCTGCCCCAGGAAGCCCCACGCAGGGGCGAACACAAGGGCAGGGAAATTCGCGGCATCTGGTATCTGGCACACCCCCCGCCGCCGGGCGTCGTGACTTTCCAATAATTTTTGGACCCCTACAGGTCTGGGCCTTTTCCCGGGTACAGGCTTTTCATACTGCGTCGGTGTTGGACGGCCCCGAGGCCCAGCAAGGGCCCTTGGAGACCACAAGCAGCGCAACGCCTTCTGTTGTGATTTCGTCATCTCACGGGGGGGTCTGGGGTATTGGTATCTTGGGCACCCCGAGCCCAACAGCAGGGCCGGAAAAGACGCACAGAGGTAATCTTTTGGCATCAGGAAGAATCGGGTATAGCCATGACCACAGGTAAGGGGACCCAGTTAGTGGTAGGGCCCCGGAGCCCCTAAAATGACCAGGATCACCAGACCAGGTCTGCCGTAGCTGGTGTTTTTCGGGTGACGGCAGCTCCTGTCAGTGGAACGGGGCGGGGGGGTCTTCCCCCAGTAAAATCACTAAACCAGGTTCCACTAAATCGGCGTCACCCCAACATACTTATACTATATGTGCGTCGCCCCCCCAGAGGCGACGCGCGCACCGAGAAGTCTTCTAGTATATGCGTCGTGGCGGGCGCATTCTGGCTACACCGCTCCGGAAACGATGTACCACAAGATGGGTATACTATATGCTCGGGGTGGACGCGCGCCTCCGAGGAGGACATGTAGTATTAGTATGTCTCTGTGCGTCCCACGAAGCCCAATTCTGGCAACGCCCGAAAGAAGCCGTCGCCCCGCCCCTCCCCGCCTCGCTCCGCCTGCCCGCGGCGGCGGCCCTCGGCTCGGTCCGCCCGCAGCGGTCCGCCGCCTGCGCGCCCTACTATAGGGAGCGGAGCGTGGCATTGCACCCCCGCGGGCGACGATCGCAGGGCATCCCCGCCCTTTTTTCCCAGGGCGTGTGGATTATGTCTCAGGCCAGGCCGGTGGGGACACCTGCAGTTGTCCGCTTCTCTCACATCTCTGTGAGTGAACCTCAAGGCGCACGCGTCTCTGTGGGTGTCCTGCGGCCAGGTGCCCTGTGCTGGCGCCATTCCACAGGGGGTGGGTCCATGCTGACTGGCTGTCTTGCTCGCTCATCCCTCTAACAGGGAGCCGTCCCCGCCCAGGCCCAGCCAGGAATCGCCCTGGGTTCCCTCGGGGCAAGGCCCCAAGAAAGGTTTGCATGGCCAGAACGCACGGGGGCATGGCCAGAACGCACAAGACATCCGCCGCGCAAGCTTTTATACAGTAGAGGCCTATGCCAAGAAACGCCCAGATTGCCTCCAGGGTGCCCTTCTTGGATTTCGATGTTCTTGCGATGGCAAGCGTGGCGTTCCCACACCACAAATCAATGGACGTCCTGGGGTCTCAGGGTTGGGTTTCTTGTGGCAGGTTTCTTGTGGACTTGCCTCCACTGCAGGGCCCCCCAAACCAGGCCGCGACAAATGTTGACATGGCCCCGCCCTGGAAAAGTTTACAAGGGTTGGAAGCTGAAACATCCTTTGCCCGACTTCGCCTCCCCGCCCGACCGAAAGCGTAGGCTGTGCAACACCTGGACGCGACGGGCGAGGCGTCGGTGAACAAGGCGACGATCTATGGATCAAACCATCTGCGGACGGATCCAAACGATGGGCTAGTCGAGGACGGATCCAAAGGATTAGCTGGTTTGTGTGTTCGTTCCGCTCCTTACAAATGCGGCGGATCTGGCGACGAGCGTGCGGTCTCCACCTTCTGAACCGTCTGATTGGCCCCGACCGAGGCGAGGAGGAGAAGGAAGAGGAGAACGGAGGAGGAGGAGGAGGAGCAGGAGGAGGAGGAAAAGGAGGAGGAGGTGGAGGAGGAGGGGGAGCAGCAGGAGCAGGAGAAAGAAAGAGGAGGAGGAGGAGGAGGAACAGGAGGAGGAGGAGGAAAAAGAGAACGACGGGGAAGAGGAGCCATCGAGGCTGGGGAGGAGCGGGAGGGGCAGGGGTTCGGGACGGGGGAGGATGATGGACGAGGACGAGGACGAGGACGAGGACGAGGACGACGACGAGGAAAAAAATCCTGGGGCAGGCGTCGGAGCCGGCGAAGAGCAAGCCCCCGCCGCCGGGCGTGGAGCGGGAACCCCCGCAGTGGCCGCCGCCCGCGGCGGAGGACCGCCCGGCGCGGGCGCCGTCCCCGCCCAGCGAGGCGCCGCCGCCGCCCAGCGAGTCGCCGCCGCCGCCCCCGCCGGGAGGCGCGGGCCTCGGCGGTGGGCGCGTGGGGGAGGAGGAGGAGAGGGAGGAGGAGAGGGAGGAGGAGGAGGAGGAGGAGGAGGAGGAGGAGGAGGAGGAGGAGGAGGAGGAGGAGGAGGAGGAGGAGGAGGAGGAGGAGGGAGGAAAGGGAGGAAAGGGAAAGGAGGAGGAGGAGGATGGAGGGAGGAGAGGGAGGGAAGAGAGGGAGGAGGAAAGGGAGGAGGAGGAGAGGAGGAGGAGGAGGAGGAGGAGGAGGAGGAGGAGGGGAGGAGGGAGGGGGTCGTCGGGTCGTCGCCGTCGTCGTCACCGTCGCCGTCGCCGTCGCCGTCGCCGTCGCCAACGTCGCTGCCGCCGCCGTCGCCGCCGCCGCCGCCGCCGCCGTCGCTAATTATCGCCGTCGCCGCCTCGCCGACATCATCGTCGTCGTCGTCGTCGTCGTAGTAAACGGTGATCGTCGTCATCGCCGTTGTGGTCGTCGCCGTGGTGGTCGTCGTCGTCGCCGTTGTGGTCGTCGTCGTGGTGGCCGTCGTCGTCGCCGCCGCCGCCCCCGCTGGGAGGCGCGGCCCTCGCACCATGGGCACCAGGGGGGGGCTGCCACAGTCAGTGGACGGAAAGGATATCGATGCCGCTGCTCGTCCTGGGGAGCCCTCGCTGGGCATCGCCCAAGCCCACTGATGCTGTGTGCGTGCGATGCCCCCATGGGGCGACGGGAGCGCACGCCGAGAGGTCTTGCAGCATAAGCTCCGTGGCGGGCGCTCTTCGTCCACCCTGCTCGGGAAATGATCTACTACGAGATGTCCATACTTGACCAGCCTCGAACTTATCCCCATCCCTAAGATTGACACGCCCAAAGGCGATGACAATCTTAGGGATACGCCCTCAGAAAATAAGGGAATCCCTAAGATTGGCATCGTGATGAGGAGATGCCCAGCATAGGGATAAGGGATCCAGTCCATCTCGCCACCATGCTCGGGTTGTGGGCGTGAAGTCTATTGGATGTTCGTTGGGATCTCGTGGGAGGCCTCTCGGGGGCCTCTCGGAGGCAGTTGTGAGGCCTCTTGGGGGCCGATTTGGGGCCTCTTAGTGCTTCGTTTGGGCCTTGGGGGAGCCTCGTTCTGGAACGCTTTCAGAGCGTTCTGGGGCGCTCTGAGAAGGCCACGGCGCCCGAGACATCCTCCAGAGCCGCCGGATCTCAGAGATTGTCGATTTATCCGCACCCGAATTCGTCCTCGTCCTGGTTTCGTCTTTCGAGTAGGGGATCGACTACAGAATTGAGTTACCCTAAATTTGATTTTCTCGTCGAAGGGTTCCAAAAACAAATACGTATACTGTTGATAGATCTGCGAGCATGATTCGCAAGTTTCGTAGATTCGACGAACAATCCCAGACATGCGACGTCCTCTTTTCTTCAATACGGCGTCCCCAGAAGTCCTGAACCTTTCCCCGGGGTCGTTTTTTCATCCCGAGTTGTCTTTTCACGCTTCCGGGGCCCGGCGAGGGCGCCCGAAAAAAGCGAGACACCTCTCGCCCAGTTTTTTTTGTTTGACGATGCGATCATGCCTGGGATTCAAGCCTGGGCTGAATCCATTCTGTCGTCGATCCCCTGCTCGAGTCGTAATGGAGGATGACGATTCATAAATGACCGGGGGTCGTGTTCACGCGGCGGCGCCCGGGATGACGATTAGAAAAACCGGCCGCGGGCTGGAAAACTATGTGTTTAATCGTTCTCTTCCAGTCAGAAAATTCGGCAGAAATATCAGAAAACTACTTTTGTTAATCGTTCTCTCCAATTTTCGTATTTATCTTCATCCCGCATTAGACCCCCCGGCCGAGACGCCCAGAGAGCCCAGGCGGGGCTGCCGCCGACGGCGCCGCGGGCGGCGCCCCTGGCGGGGCCGCTGCCGCCCAGGGCCCGGGCAGGCCCGGGCTGCCGAGCCGGCTGCCCCCGCCGCCGCCCGCACCGGGGGCGGCGAGCTCCAGGCCGCCACGCCCTCCTCCTCCCCCTCCTCCTCCTCCTCCTCCTCCTTCTCCTCCTCCTCCTTTCCTCCTCCTCCTCCTCCTCCTCCTCCTCCTCCTCCTCCTCCTCCTCCTCCTCTTCCTCTCTCCTCCTCCCCCTCCTCCTCCTCCCTCCTCTCCTTCCTCCTCCTCTTCTCCTCCTCCTCCTCCTCCTCCTGGGCTCCCCTTCTCCTCCTCCTCCTCCCTGGCAGCCCTCGCATGGCGTCATGCCCCGCCGGGGCCTCGCCGGCGGAGGCGGCCGCGGCGCTGGCAGAGGTGGCCGCGCCTCGGCGGTCGGCGCCGCCGCAACGGCGGCAAGGGCCGGCCCGACAGTCTCGCGCGGTCAGATTCAAGTCGGGCCTGTCCTTCTACAGGGGGAGTATTCAAAAATAGTACAAAAAATAGTCTGGGGACTAGTCTTTTAATTTTCATTTTGGATGATTTTTTGATTATTTGCTTTTTTCGTCGAAAATCCCCCTGTAGTGGGACAGGCCCGACTTAAGACCAGATGCAGCTGCCGCTCATCGAGGGGGGCAATGGCGCAACCAGAAGCTTGCGGCGGTCCGCGGCGCCTCCGGCGCCGTCTTCCTGGCGCGCCCCTCCACCGCGCCAGGGGGGAGAGGGGCCCAGCGCGGAGCCAAGAGCTCCGCGCGGGCCGTCGAGAGGTTCTGCTTCACTACGCCGTTGTTTCTCTCCCTGCCGCCCAGTGCCTTAAGACGCCCCCGCGGCCGGCGCCGAGGCCTTGGCCCGCGCCCTTGGCGGCCACCACAGGGAGGCTCATGCCTACGCCCCCGCGCAGACAGCGGCGGCATCCGCTGCCTGCGCCCCCCCACAGACGCGGCGGTGGCGCGCTCCGCGCGCCAGGGAGGGGGGCCCACAAAACGACGGGGCCCCCGCGCGCGTGTTTTTGTTTTGTCTTGTTTTAGTTTTGCTTTCCTGTTGCTTCTAATGGAAGGACCAGAAGCACAGGGAGGGCAAGGAAAACGAGAAGCACCGTCACTGAGACCTGCATGCTGCACCCTGGGAAGCTGTGGATGGGGACGTGGTCGCTGACATGGCAGATGGAGTCCCCGCGCTGGGGGGACTCCCCGCACCTTCCCCTCATGGATGGGATACGTTGGCTGCCTGGTGGGAGGACTTTCCACAGCCACTGGGCACGGCTACGGCCTGGCAATCCTTTGGGATGCCACCCCGAGCTGAAGTCCAGACGAGTCCTCCTTCACTTGATGCTGGCACCGCTGTGTCCAGCAACCTCACGCCGCGGAGGGCGAGACGCTGAGTGCGGAGGACGGCGCACGGGTCACTGAGAGGGCGACGCGCGGAGCGCGGAGGACGGCCAGCAGACCACGGAGGGCTTCAGGCTGAACGCGGAAAATGGCCAGCGGGAGGTCACGGGCTGCACCATGCCGAGCACGGGAGACGACCAGGGGGGCGGGCACCAGCAAGTGTTCAGGAGGTCAACCAGCCACCTGCGGGGCTGGGCGCAGCCCCGCTTTATCATAGGTTTCTCCGGCCGCCCCGCAGGATACTCCGGGGAAGATACTCCGAGTGCGGGCCTGGGTGGGGGGGTGGGGCAGGGGACGAGGCGACGTGCGCGCAAGGCGTCCAGCAGCCGACGGGGGACGGCAAGCTCAGTGCGGACGACGGGCAGCAGGCCGCAGACCCAGACCCCCGACGTCATGACTTTTTCATGACGTCGACCCCCAGAGATCTCGACCCGTTCCCCGTGACCGGTTTTTCATCCTGAGTCGTATTTTGACGCTCCCGCGGGCTGGTGAGGGCCCCCAAAGGCCAAAAATCATGAAAAACCTCCCGTCGCGATTTTTTCATGACTCGAGGGGGTCTGGGGAGGAGGACGGGAGGCAGCGGGCTGCTCCCGGGGAGGCGGGCAGGGGCCTCCTCGGCTATACGCCGCCGAGGCCGCGGGCAGGGGCGGCCCCGCCCCCTCGCGCGCAGCGCGACCGCCTGGAGCGCGGCCACGTGCCCGGGAAAGTGGAGTTCAGTCGGGCCTGTCCCTCCTTACCGGGGGGATATATTCCAAAATAGTCCAAACATAGTCTGGGGACTATTTTTGAGCATTTGTTGCCCATTTCGGGGTGCATTTTTTACGTTTTTATTTTTTGAATATTTTGGGGCGCATTTTTTACGTATTTGTTATTTTTCGTCGAAAATCCCCATGTGGGAGGACACGCCCGACTTGCGCCTGGAACACGGTCGCGTGCCTGGGAACGTGGAGCGGTGGCGAGGAGGCCCCCGTGGCGGCATGGAGCGCCTGCCGCTCGAGAGCTCCGGCCGCGCAGAGAGGCGCGACTCGCAGTGGAGACCCAGGCCAAGAGGCACCCTGCTCGCCTCCAGGGTGCCCTGGGTGTCCTGGGTCTCGATGGTTCTGCTGATCGCGGGAGGCGTGGCGCTCCCACACCAGAGAAGCATCCACGGGCGTCCTGGGCTTTGTGGGCCCCGGAAACGGCAGGGCCGTTTTTTCACCGTTTCCAAATAAATGTCATTGAAAAATGGAAACGGCAAAAAAACGGCGACCGGAAACGGCAACAAAAACGGCTCCAGGGTTGGAACCGGAGCCGGAACCGGTCAAACAACGGCGACGGAACCGGTAAACAAACGGCGTCGGAACCGGCAACAAAAACGGCAAAACGGAACCGGTAAAAAAACGGGCCCAGAAGTTGTTCGAGCCCTCGTCTGCTCGGCCGCCGAGCGCCGTCGCGTCAGAGTGGCTGGAAGTTTCCGCCGCCGCGCCCCGGACGCGAGCGCCGTTGCAACAGGATTATGGTTTTCGTCTCCCCCCCGCCGCAGGCTGCGCTGTGTGGAGCGGCCCATGAAATGGGGCTCGTTCTCCTCGGGTTCGCGACCCATGGCGTCACCGCCGCGGGCTGCCGCCTCCCCCATGGAGAGCATTGGCCGCCCCAGGGGCGCCTGCGACGCGTCTGGCAGTGGCGAGGGCCGCCCTCCCGACGCGGATGGCTGGAGATTGCAGCCTTCGAGACGCGTTTCGGGCTCGGATGGTTCCTGGGCTCGCGCTCCTCGGCTCTGCGCTCAAGGCTTGCATGGGGAGACCTTCTGGCTCGTGGCCCGCCCGTAATTATGCGGTCACGCTCAGGAGTCGCGCTCTTCTTCGTTGTCCTGGCGCGCCGCTCCGCCTTGCTGCCTCTGTCTTCCTGCTACGGTCACTCTTCTGGAGTCCCATGTCCTGCTCCGTCCGGCTTGTAGTGTCACGTCTCCGTGGACGCAGGAAGTCTGAGATCTGATTTAGGTGGTTGGTGTCACTCTGCATGGCGACACCCGTCGCTGGATTTGCGCTCTGCGAGCCTGCGTGGCAGGGAAACGCATTTTCCTCGGCTGCTGGTCCTTGCTGGCGCAGCCTCCTACTCGCCTCTTCCTCTCTTCTCTCGCATGCGGCACACTCGCTCATCCTTCGAAGAAGAAATCGCCATGAGCACAAACTGTTGGCGGAGCATCCAAGAAACCTGCGCGGAGCGCCAAAAGTTTGTGTTTATGGCGTTTCTTATTTTTCTTCTTCTAATATTTCAGGCACGGTTCAGTGCATGAGTTTGCCTATCGCAGGCCGGCTCGTGTGGTGTTTCCAGTTTGCCCGGCGACCTTGTGAGTCGCACAGCGGTCGAGGCCGAGTCGGGTGAAGCTCTGTGGTCGCGCCTCCTCCTCCTCCTCCTCGTCCCTCCTCCTCCTCCTCCTCCTCCTCGTCCTTCCTCCTCCTCCTCCTCCTCCTCCTTCCTCCTCCCTCCTCCTCCTCCTCCCCACCTCCTCCTCCTCCTCCTCCTCCTCTCCTCCTCCCTCCTCTCCTCCTCCTCCTCCTCCTCCTCCTCCTCCTCCCCCACACTCCTCCTCCTCTCCTCCTCCCCCCCCTCCTCCTCCTCCCCCTCCTCCTCCTCCTCCTCCTCCTTCCACTCCTGCCTTCTCCTCCTCTCCTCCTCCTCCTCCTCCTCCTCCTCCTTTGCGAATGAGAAAAGCTTGAGCAGGACTCCCTTTCGGCGTCGCCGCGGACGTGTCTGGCCCTCTGAAGCAGGATATGTCGTCTGCCCGACTGCCCGAGGCGGTTCTCGGCGGAGCGCCTCGTCGGGAGCGTCTCGGGGGCGTCGGAGGCGTGCCGCCGCCCTGTGGCACGGAGGGACGCTGAAACGGCAGAGGGGGGGAGGGCGAGGCTCCTCCTCGTCGTTCCTCCTCCTCCTCCTCCTCCTCCTTCTCCCCTCCTCCTCCTCCTCCTCCTCCTCCTCCTCCTCCTCCTCCTCCTCCTCCTCGCTCGCGCGGCAACGGCAGAGGAGGGGGGGGGGAATCGCTTCGGCCCCCAATCGCTCCTCCTTGGCATCGCTCGGACGTGTGCAGTTTTCCCTCGGCGAGGGCCATCGAGAGGCACCCTTGATCACTTGGCGCAAAAGCCACGCACGAAACCGTACAAACACAGGGAATGGACGTCCGAGCGATGCCAAGCCTCTGGATCGCCGATGGAAGCGTGATGTCGCAGGCGATTCCCCCCCCCGAAACCCCCGATGTCCCGACGGAAACAGCAAGCCGCTCGGAACAGGAGGGAACCTCGGGGTAATACACCCCGAGAGGGCCCCTCGGACGCACCCTTCTCGAGGAGGAACGCCCCCTCGTCGTGCATCCCAGACTCGGGCTCCCGATGTTTGGGGTCCATGCGAAAGCCCGCCGAAGCTTGGGACGAGGGGTGGAGATAATCCCCCGTGCTGCTGGCCCACCCCGCCCAGGAACGTGCGTATTCGCTTTCGGGGGCCCATCGCCGATATGTCGGCGATGTACCTCTGGTTCCAGGTGGATGTGCCCCCATCGAGCCATTCTTATGTCGGGCCTGTCCCTCTACAGGGGGAATATTCAAAAATAGTTTTCAAAAATAGTCTGGGGATTATGTTTTGACAATTTTTGAGCATGTTCTTGCATTTTTTGTGTATGTTTAGTTTTTGGTTCAAAATCGGCCTGTAGGGGGACAGGCCCGACTTAATTCCAGGTGGATGTGCACCCACCGAGCCATTCCCGCAAGAAGCGGGGGGTCGAGAGGAAGGCCGAGGATCGAAGAGAGGGTCGAGCCGAAGGGAAAACCGAGCGGCTCCTGCACAAACCCTTTTAGGAGGGCCGAGCGAACCTCTCGGGTTCTGTGCAGGGCTCTATTTTCCCCATCGCCCCTCCCTTTCCCCCCTCCCCTCCTGTCCCCTCGTCTCCCTTCCCTCCCATCGACGAGAAGAAAAGAGAGGGAGAGAGAGAGGGAGAGAGAGAGTCCCCCTCCCCAGCACCCCTCCCTTTCCCCCTCCCTCCCATCCTGCCCCCTCGTCTCCCTTCCCTCCCTTCGACGAGAGGGAGAGAGCGAGAGAGAGAGAGAGGGAGAGAGAGTGGAGGGTGACGAGTGGAAGAAGCAAGATGATCACCAAACGGCAGCAAGATTCGATGCCGCTCCTGTCTTATTGGCCCCTCCCCCTCCCTCTTCTCTGGACCCTCGCCGGTCCGAGTTCGAGCCCCGTCTTGAGCCAGCCAGTTGCCGATGCCGACCCTCCTGCGGCGCCGGTGTGCGTGCGTGCGTGCGTGCGTGCGTGCGTGCGTGCGTGTGTATTTTTGTGTGTGTGTGTGTGTGTGTGTGTGTGTGTGTGTGTGTGTGTGTTTGTGTGTGTGTGTGTGTGTGTGTGTGCGTGCGTGCGTGCGTGCGTGCGTGCGTGCGTGCGTGCGTGCGTGCGTGCGTGCGTGCGTGTGTGTGTGTGTGTGTGAGGCCATTTTTCTCTCGGGGGTGGACAGAACCCCCAACAGTGACACGTCGATTAGTGAATTGTCCGTTTTCGGTTCTCGAGAGGGCGCTGTGGCCATTATTTTCCAGGCTTGCGCCCGCCAGGTTTGGGCCTCAGGTCGTTTTCACTAAACCACGTTTTACTAAAGGGGGGTCTTTCCATCCCCGATTCTCTCTCCAGCAACTCTCGCTTCGGCGCGCCCGAGTCCGCCCCAGGCCCTCCCGGCGCCGCTGCTTCCCCTCCCACGCGCGGGCCCCGAGGGGTCTGGAGTGCCTTCCCGGGGGCAGGGCTCCCATCTCGGCTCCTCTCTGTTTCTGCCTGCGGGTCTCCGGGGCCTGGCGGCGGCCCCCGAGGCCCCGGGGGGCCGACGGTCGTCCACACACCTGCTGTGGCAGATTTTTTCCAGGAGGGGGAAAAAACGCACAGACACAATCAGTCGTCGACTCCCAGGGGGAAACATGTACAGACACAATCAGTCGTCGACTCCCAGGAGAACAGATGGGCAACTGTGCGACAGGGGGGGGGGGGGGAAGACGCACACCACCCAGAACAGCTGTGAGGAGATGGGGACTCCTCCTAATTACCTGTGTCCAATTCTCTGTGTGCCCCAGGGCCCCTTCCTTGGCATCGCTCGGACGTGTGCAATTTTTTCTTCGGCGAGGGCCATCGAGGAGCATCCTTGAGCATTTGGCGAAACAACCACGCACGGAACTAACAAAAAACAACATGGGATGGACGTCCGAGCGATGGCCAGCTTCCATTTTTCCCACGACCGAGCCTGCCTGGGGCGCCAGGGCTCCGGCCCCGACGCCGCCGTGCGCCCGCCCGCCGTGCGGCCCGAGGAGGAGGAGGAGGAGGAGGAGGAGGAGGTGGAGGAGGAGGAGGCGGAGGAGGAGGAGGAGGAGGAGGAGGAGGAGGGGGAGGAGGAGGAGGAGGAGGGAGGAGGGAGGAGGAGGAGGAGGGAGGAGGGAGGAGGAGGAGGAGGAGGAGGGAGGAGGGAGGAGGAGGAGGAGGAGGAGGACGAGGAGGAGGAGGAGGAGGATGCTCTGGGAGGAACGTCGGACTCCAGCCAGGAAGTGGCTGCCTCTGGCCGGGCCGAGAAAAAAAACCGCGCAGAGGCCCGCGGAGGAGGCCCCCGCGGCGGGCAGCGCCGCGGCCTCCGCGGAGGCGCGGGAGGCGCGCATCCACGAGCTGCTCGAGGCCTCGCAGCGGCACCTGCCGGCCGGGGCCGACAGAGAGAGGCCGCGAGGGGGGCGGCGGGGGCTGAGTGGGCCCTGGAAACGACAGGGTCGTTTTTTTACCTTTGCCGTTTTGCTGTTTTTTTGCTGGTTCCGACGCCGTTTTTTACCGGTTCCGTCGCCGTTTTTTGACCGGTTCCGGCTCCGGTTCCAATCCTGGAGCTGTTTTTTTGCCGTTTACGGTCGCCGTTTTTTTACCGTTTCCATTTTCAAGTGACAGTTTTCTGGAACCGGTGAAAAAAACGGCCCTGCCGTTTCCGGGGCCCACTAAGGGCGGGGGGTCAAGCAGTGGCGAAGCGTGCTGGCTCGCCCAACTAGCCCTGTCAAAGATCGCTCTTAAGAACCTGTTCTGTTGTTTCCACCTAGTGTTCTTAGAGCCTTTCTGGCGGATCCACGAGCTGCTCGAGACCTCGCAGAGGCACCTGCCGGCCGGGGCCGACAGAGAGAGGCCGCGAGGTCTGCACGAACGAAATGGCACGGAAAGAATGGGTACAATTCGGGGCTGGACAGAACCCCCAACAGTGACACGTCGACGTCGATTCGTGAATGGTCCGTTTTCGGTTCTCGAGAGGGCGCCGTGGCCGTCATTTTCCAGGCTTGCGTCCGCCAGGTTTGGGCCTCAGGTCGTTTTCACTAAACCACGTTTTACTAAAGGGGGGTCTGTCTATCCCCGAGAGATGGGCACGGGAAGAACGGGTACAATGCCCAAACAGCGGATCCTGTTCATTTGGAGCAGGGCTGGCTGTGCACGCCGCCGCGGCCCGTGTCCATTCGAGACAGGAGGCCGCCTGCCCAACAGCGGCCGCTGTTGGTTTTGGGCAACATTTGTTGTTGGGCATTGTACCCATTCTTTCCGTACCCATTTGGGGCGTCCAAAGAGGGGGGCGGGGGGGTCAAGCCGTGGCGAAGCGTCCCGGGTCGCCTAGCTAGCCCTACCGAAGAGCGTTCTTAAGGACCTTTTTTCTGTGGTGTCCACGGAGTGTTCTTGGAGCCTTTCTGGCGGAGTCTGTCTTGGTTGATCACACCGGGCTTGTGTTCTGAGGACATTGTTTATGTTATCCGATAGGACTATAGGAATGCCGGGACGGTCGGTCCCTGCTCAAAGAGGGGGCGGCGGGGGCTGGGCCAGGGAGCCTTCGGCTCCCCTCCCGACTGTGAGGGGGTCTTGAAGAAGCGGCGCGCAAGGGGTTCCCACCCCGAACATCGTCCCTCCCCCCCCCATACCTCCCCCCGGATCCCGGTATGTGATATCCAGAACAACCACCACTTTACAGCCGGATGTGGTACCTGGTACTTCAACACCCGCAGAGGCTTCGAAAGTATGGTTTTTCTTTCGGGAGCACATCGTCCTTCCAGAATGACCACGGCACACCCCTTTCCAACTGGGATGGGCCTCTTGAGGACCAGAACGACCAGTTTACAACTGGAGGCCTGCTCGGTGGCGTGTCAGGCTTTCCCAGGCTGGGGGCGGGGGCGCTCTTTTGCTGTCTTAGGATTTCGTGGGGCGAAGGTCGAAGGCCGACGGTTGGCGATCAAGCTCCTCGGGCGTGTGCGCAGTTTTTCCGAGGCCTTCCGGGGCGTTCTCATCGGCACGGCTGGATCCCCCCGAGATGTTGGTCAGAACGCTCCCCCGGACGAGTTGTTTGGCAGGTTTTCGAGAGGAGGATGTCGAGGAGAGCGAGGAGGAGGAGGAGGAGGAGGACGTGATGAGGAGGAGGAAGAGGAGGAGGAGGAGGAGGAGGAGGAGGAGGAGGAGGACAAGGAAACTGCGTGCCCGAGGACTTCGGTGAACAGGTCACCAATTTCGGGATTCTGCAAAGCGCACCAGCCCACAAGGCCAGCCGCGTCCTCCCCCTATCCATTACATCCCACTTCTACCCCATTACATGTTCGGATACATCTATTTCCCATTTCATTTTGTTCACACGTAGTTATGATCTCCCCTCGCGTTACGCTGCACGCATTTTGCATTACGCGACACCACTACGTCGACTTCGACATCGGCTGCGCACGGCAGAATATCACGATTTCGTCAACGTTTATTACGTGCGACAGCACTAGTACCACTTGTACGGCCACTTGTGAGAAGCAACCACACGTTTACATTGCGGCATCTTGCAAGCAGTAGCACGACGACCTCGTCGATTTCAAGCCCTGCCTGGCATCGCCGAGAGCTGGAAAAAACGACAGCAGCTCCACACAGCTCGACAACGGTTCGACCAGCACCACAAAGCACAACAACCACGTAGTTTGTCGACCGACACAATGTCCAGCTACGCACAGGCACCCCATGCCAAGGGCAAGTGCAAAGGGAAACGCCAACACCAGCACAGCAACAGCAAAAGCAACAGCAACACCAATCATCTTAAGACTGTCCGCTTCTATCTGCTCGCGTGTCGGTCAACACGTATATCGCAAGCCCTCTGCATCCGCCCTCTTCGTCTTCGTTCGTACCCCTTTGGGGGTATATCTTCTTTACCTGCCACGTGGATTTAGCGCAACACCTAACAAAAACGCAAGAGGGGACGGATGGCAAGGGGGAGGGATGAGGATTGAGCACGAGAGAAATTGACAGGAGGCGGGGGTTGCAGCAGGCAGCACGTGGCAGGGCCAGACAGTCAGATCGGGCGGGCAGACCTTAACGGGCCGGTCGAGAAGGCAGGCCCAGGCGGCCAGGTCGTGCAGACGAGCTGCTGAAGCGCGAGCCCTGCATGAATCGCGAGGAAGTCTCGAGCGATTGCGCGGTTCCCAAATCGCGAGAAAGGCAAGAGCGTGATTCCTGAGTGTCGAAGGTGCGGCGTCTGAATAAATGGCGAGAGAATCCGACGCAAGAGCGCGATTCCTGCAAATATTGAAGCAGTTTCGCGCGGCATCACGATTTTGAAGTAAGTTGTAAGGATGTGTCAGTCGAGAACCGTTGTTGTTGCAGTTCGGTGCCTAACAACAGAGTCCGGTGACGCCAGGCTTCCGCTACTAAAAGCAAGGTGCTAGTCCCGGGAGGAGCACTTTAGTTTAGAAATGCAGCGGCCACCACAGGGGGACCACCAATCATCATTTTGGAGCTGGAAAGTTCAAGAGATGGAGAGCCACTTGGCAAACAACTGGCAACACGTGCTATACCTACCCATCACATTTAGGAACACGATGCCAAACGTTCCACAGGCAACCCCACCAGCAGTATTACACACTTAACCAACGGCCCACCAAAGCACCAACACATTGGAAGCCAAAGCCACGCGCGCCGCGCCAATCTCGACCGACGATGCCAAACTCCAAGCCGCAACACCCGATGACAGCCAGGTCGCGACACGACGACTTCGTAGCGTAACCAGTTGTTGAAACCACTCCCGACCACGTGGCATGCACGACACGAGAAAAGAAAGCGTTCATTGACGACGCACCAGAAACATACCGCAATGACGTCTTCCACAGAGAAGAGCCAGGCGCTACACCAGTCGAACTTGGTGCTTGGCAAACGGCAAAAGCGGTGGCAAACGGCAAAAGCGGTCGAGCTTAGCAGAATTGCCACACAGGGAATCGCAGTCGAGAGCGCAGGCCAAGATGCACGCCAACTTCGACAACATGTTGGACCGGCGACAGCTACCAGACTACACAGGATCAGCGTCAACATTGATTCGTCCACGCAGCACCCAGCACTGTTTTGCAGCGCTTCGGCTTCAAGTTTTTACGTCAGCAACGCGGGCTCCACCGCGGCAACCTTGCAAGCTCCGCGCCAGATTGATCGGCAAGCTTTGCCAGCGGAGACATGGGCGTTCGACGCGCAAGCAGACCTTGCGACTCCAACTATTGAGCAGGACTACGTCCCAAACCGCACAAAGGACCGCATTCCACCGCCCCCCCCCCACCACCACCACAGCTCAAGATACCCATAGTATGTCCACCACCAGGTACATCGGCAGCCAAGTTTCTTTGGTTCGCCAATAATCCACCCACGCACCGCACACAATCGACCCAGGCAACCATCAGACATACTTCCGACCAAAAGCACCGGCATCAAAGGAAGGTGGCCTAACGGGATCCGTTCCGACACCCACTGGCGACAACAACGTCAACGTCATCAACGTCGCGGACCCCATTCTGAATGAGTACTTGGAGAAGGTTCGGGTACACTTGCTGCAATACGAGGAATACTTGGAAGACTCGGATAGACGCACTGGCCATGACCAACTGACTAACAATCGATTTATCGAGAGCTTGCAACCGACAGAAGCACCGCCGACTCCCAAACCAAAATACCCAACGCTACGACCAGGACGCGCACCGTATTGGGGATAAGCATACTCATGCACCTGTGAACGACCTCTCGCTTTCGACAGCTCCGCCACCTGCCTCAATGGCGCTCTTTGGTCTAGATGAAAGCAGCTGTTTTTGCAAGCCTCTGCAACCTCACGTTCTTGACATCTGCTGCGCCCAGTGCTTCTATGACCACACGGATCATGGCTCATGTGGGAGACAGCCTGTCTTCCTCGCCCCAATCCCCCGCGCAGTGTTTGCACGCCCGTGTCTTCCCGTGTGTTCGGATGCAACTCCTGGGAGGTCAAATTCTGATTTTGCCCTGGTCCGAAATCCGGCTGAATCCCGCACAATCCCGCTCTTTCCCGCTGAATCCCGCTTAATCCGGCTTCATCCTGCTTAATCCGGGGCCCACTCCGGCGCAGCAGCCCCCCAATCTGAGGCTCAATGCTCCCTGCCCCTTCCGACGACAGCCTCCCAGTAGTTGCCTCCTCACGTGCTTCGTGCCAGGTGCTCTCTCTCTTTTGGTCCTCGTCCTGGCTCTTCGCCCCTGCTGCTGTGGTCCGCGCTGCGGCGTCTCCCTCAGGCATCCCAGAAGACCCCCAAGAAGGCCGCCAGCCCCCCCAAAAGTAGTAGCAGTAGCGCGCCAAGACGCCCCAGAAGAGCCCCAAGAGGGCTGCAAGAAGGCCCTGCGAGGACCTCGAGAGAGCCCCAAGACAGAGCTCCAGGAGGGCCCCCCCCCCCGGGGGCGTGCTGTGCGGGCCTCTGCCCCGCGGGCCATCTCGCCCCGTGCCGCATTTGGGGGGCCCCGCGGCGACCGCGCCGCCTGCCGCGTGCTTCCCCGCCTCTCGTCTGCCGCTGCCCAGGATTCGATGGGAAAAACACACACAGTCACACACACACACACACTAACACACACACACACACTAACACACACACACACACATACGCACACGCACACACGCACACACGCACACACGCACACACGCACACACGCACACACGCACACACGCACACACGCACACACGCACACACGCACACACGCACACACACGCACACACGCACACACGCACACACGCACACACGCACACACGCACACACGCACACACGCACACACGCACACACGCACACACGCACACACGCACACACACACACACGCACACACGCACACACGCACGCACGCACACACGCATACACGCACACACACACACACTGTGGGAAGACAAAACACACAGTTTGTTGGAAAAACAGACAGTCTGTGGGAGAAACGCACAGTGTGTGTTTTTTGTTCCACAGACGGTGTGTGCTTTTTTCCCCACAATGTGTGTGTGTTTCTCACAGACGGTGTGCGTGTGTGTGTGTGTGTGTGTGTGTGTGTGTGTGTGTTGTTGTTTTTTCCCACGGTGTGTTTTTCCCACAGACTCCGTGTTTTTTCCATAGGGGAACAAAAAGTGACATAAACATAACAACTCGGAGGTCCGCGCGGATTTCTCGGATCGGCGCTGGACCCCCCTCCTTGGCGCGCGGAGCGCGCCAGGGGCGGCGCCTCCGGCGCCGCCGGGGGGCCCCAGTGCCGATCCGAGAAATCCGCGCGGACCTCAAAGTTTTTATGTTTATGCGGCTTGTTGCTCTTATTGTAGTTCGCGGGGGGCGGGGGGGTCTCTCTCTCGGCTAGACGCAAGAGGGACCCTTCGCCGGAGTGACCTTTGGTGCGGGCACGGACGGGTCCCCAGAGGGCTGGAAGCGAGGCAGCAGCAGCTGCTTGCGCGCCCAGGTTTGGTCTCCCCGCGGCCCCCAAGAAGTCGCGCACCAAAGGTCACTCTTACCCAGGGTCACTCTTGCGTATAGCCGGGGAGAGACTTCCCCCTGGCCTGCGCCGTGTGGACAAGTCTTCATTTTGTCAAGGCTTAGGCAACGATGTCCGCGTTCTCGTAACTGTGCTAAAAAAGTGTGCTCGCCAGAACATTTACAACCCACCTCGAGACTGCCTGCGTGGACTTGGAAGCTGCTCTATCGGGCCCCCCTGATCGCTAGGGAGTCGGCCCCGCCTGGCACATTTATTTTTCTGCTAAATTCGCCACTACTCATACCTGTCCTGTCTTCTCACCCGCGCCTTTTCTTTCACCCTCACCTCTTTTCACTTGCCTGACCACCTCTAGGCGACTCGCGCAACAGCAACCGTAAAACGATGGGCTTGCGCTCGCCGAGGCTGAGTTGGCTCGGGCGACTTGAGGTTTGGAGGGGCATCGGAAGGAGAGCGGTTGCTGTCTCGGCCCCCCTTGGACGAAGGCAGTTCGTCCAATTGCTGCATGCGCGGAACTCAGAGGCAGTATCTTGTCCCCATATCACAGGACGATTGCGCCAAACATAGGACCAGTAGCTGGCTGGATGCACTACAGGCTGGACTGGCTAGGTCGGCCATGCGGTCGCTATGAAGGCTGCAGTGGTGCTCCCCAAGCGTTGGGTAGATCACTACGCAGCTACTCTCGCACCCGACCATACGCTCTTCCCCAATCTGAATACTGCACGGAGAAGATGAAACCCTCCACGGGGAAACCAAAGAGCGGGCCTATTGCTGGCCATCGGGAAACCTACAACGGCCAGGCGGACGTTTACAGTATTTTCATGTTCTGCTACTTTCACGCATGCCAAGGCTTAACACGCCCATGCAGTAGGCAAGCCAGCGCAGCCTGCGCCAGCCTGCTACCGTTGTGCGGTCAGAGCCTATCAGTTACCAGTTTAATATGATTTGTTTGGAGTGGCCGTCAACTTTGCCGGCCAGTGCCGTCTGTGCAAGCCTTGGCATTCAACCTGTTTGTGCGAATCTCAGCCCGCAGTTACTACTGTGGGTGTCGGGGGTTAGGAGGTTGGTGTGGGGCCACGTGTGGGTGGATGGAGGTGAAAGAATTCCCGCGTCACTGGCCATGTTCGCTTCGACGGCGGGGCGCAAGACCCACTGAGGGCCATCGCGTGCTAGACCTTGCTCCACGCCGCAGGACCTCTACCCTCTGTCCTGTGCCATTTGACTGCCAGCGCCACGTTATTTTCGAAAGCGTCGCCTCTCTTGCACCCAGGCTCTTCAGCGGCCCCAGCGCACCCCTCAAGTTCATTGCGTGCGTACGTCGGTCTCTCTCTCTCTCTCTCGTAACGCTCATTGGGGCGATGGAGTACCACAGGTGGAGGATGTGTGGCCAGCGGGGGCTTTGAGTTTGCCACACACCTTGTACTGAGTATGCCTGCAGGCATACCATAGTTTAAGACTGCTGCTGAACCCTGTCCGCAACACACCCAGGCGCTGCAGGCCAGGGCGTATCGCCTTTTGCAATTCACGTATCCTTTCCCACGACATCACTTGACATGTTCATGTTGTATCACGCCTCGTGTAGTCTTACATCACAGCTGCAGTGCGGCCCAACTTGCACCCAAGCCCAACCGAGCCGCATTTTTTTGTGTTCTCTCTCTCTCTCTCTTTCTCTCTCTCTCTCTCTCTCGTCAGCGCACCTTGATATCTTATGGTGATGTGGGGGACGGAGCTGCATGTGGTGGAGGAGGTTCTAAGTGGCTCAGCTTTCCTTTGGAAGTGGTGCCCACTGGGATCTGACACGGACACTTAATTGGTAGACCAGTTTGCGTTGACACTTAAGTTAAATGTTCACGCGTAGCTCGATCCCTCTTGTCTAGCTTCTCCTTCATACTTAAGAGCTCGGTCGGTATCGTTCGTCTCTCTCTCTCTCTCTGTTTCTCTTTTTGCCTGTCTCTAGCAAGGCTTGTCTGGCGTATAATTTGTGCCCTTCTGGGCCCGCTGCCTTTGTCTTTGCTCCGTGTGATTCGTGCTACCCCGGCCAGGCGTTATCTGTTGGCGTACAGGCGTGAGGCGTCAATTATTGTTGTTTATTTCCACGGGCGGGACTGTCCATACGCTCAAGTTCGCCCAATGTAAACCAACAAAGGGGACGAAGAGGAGGGGACGGAGGACGGAGAACGAAGAGAGGGAAAAAGGAAGAGGAGGAGGAGAAGGGGGAAGGGTAAAAGGAGAAGACTCTCGATACCCTGCCTGATCGCGCAGCGATCTGAGTATTACTCCTGGGGGAGGGAGGAGGAAGGAGGGAGGAGGAAGGAAATGTGGAAGCAATGAAGGCTGGAGGTGGGAGGAGGAAAGAAGTAGGAAGGACGGAGGAGGGCGGATGGGGAGGGAGGACGGGGGAGAAAGTAGAAGGAGGAGAACATATTGAGGAGGAGGAGAGGGGAGGGTGAGAGAGGATGGAGGCGGAAACATGGAGAGAGGAGCAAAAGGAGGAGGAGAGAGAGGAGAATGAATAAGGAATGGGGAAGGAGAACGACAAAGGGGGGCGGGTGTGGAGTGAGGGATGGACAAGGATAGGGGTGGTACGGCGCAGGTGGAGGAGGAGTGCGAGGACCTCGCCGCCAGATCTTCCTTTCTCCCCCCCACCGCTGCCGTTCCTCGCTGCGGACAGGAGCCGGAAGTACGTCCCGCGGAACCCGTACGTGCACGCGGACACGGGAGGCCAGGCGGCCTACCCCGTCAACCCGACGTGCGGTTATGAGGACAGTGCTTTTGGTTGGTGGTCGTGTGTGTGTGTGTGTGTGCGCGTATGTGTGTGTGTGTGTGTGTACGCGCGCGCGTGTGTGTGTGTATATAACGATGAGTCATGTGTTTGATTCGCGCCCCTACCATACTGCGCGTCGTTGGCTGGGACCCACTGGCGCGTTGGAGGAGCAAGTGCGTGGGGGTACGTGTTTCTTCTGCTCCTTTTTGCGTAGTACTTCTGTTGTATGGGTTGTTCTCCTCCCAGAACTCCTCTACCTCTCCCTCCTCCTCCATCTGGTGAGGGGATTCCCTGTTTCAGGGAAGCACCCGGTGAAGTGAGGGAGGAAGGCGACCCTCGAGCGAGGACCCCGCGATGTTCGAGAAGTACGACCTAGACACCCTGTTCTTCATCTTCTATCGAAGACGCCTATGGCGAATCACCGCCGCCCCCTGCCTTTTTGGAAGCGCCGATGTGGCCGAACGTTGAGGCCAGACCTGCCAAGCTATTGGACCATGTGTTCCCCGAATCGGCTTGGAAAGCCTTCGGGGAACGCGTGGGCATCTTGAAGGTCATCTTGGCCGTCTTGGAGACCTCTTGGGCGATCTTTCGGCGATCTTTGGGGGCTCTTGGGCCGTCTCGGGCCGTCGGCAGGCCGAAACAAAGGAACTGTTAAAATCCGTCGAAAATCTCAGGACAATCAAGGTTTTTTGCCTTTTCTGGCCTTCCTGGAGGCCCTCTTGGGGGCCTCTTGGGCCGTCTTGGGCCGTCGGAGAGCTGAAAAGAAGAACATGCCAAAATCCTTCAAAAACCTAAGGAAAAACAATGATTTTAACCTATTCGGGCCTTCCTGGAGGGCGTCTTGGAGGGCTCTTGGGCCGTCTTGGAGGCCTTTTGCGGGCCTTTTGGGCCGTCTTAGACCATCTTGAAGCCATCTTGGGCCGTCTTGGGTGCATCTTGGAGCCATCTTACCCGTCTTGGAGGCCATTTTGGCCGTCTTGGAGGCATCTTGGAGGCCATCTTGGGCCATCTTGGCCGTCTTGGAGGCCATCTTGGGCGTCTTGGAGGCCTCTTGGGCCGTCTTGAGGCCCTCTTGGAGCCTTCTTGGGATCCTCTTGGGCCGTCATGGGGCCATCTTGGAGGCCTCTTGGGTGCTGTTGGGGCGATGTTGGGGACCTCATGGGCCGTCTGGGGCCGTCGGAGAGCTGAAAAGAAGAACATGCCAAAATCCTTCAAAAACCTTAGGAAAATCACTGATTTTAACCTATTCGGGCCTTCCTGGAGGGCGTCTTGGAGGGCTCTTGGGCCGTCTTGGAGGCCTTTTGCAGGCCTCTTGGGCCGTCTTAGACCATCTTGAGGCCATCTTGGGCCGTCTTCGGTGCATCTTGGAGCCATCTTACCCGTCTTGGAGGCCAGTTTGGGCCGTTTGGGGGCATCTTGGATGGCCTATTTTGGCGCCATCTTGGCCGTCTTGGAGGGCCATCTGGGGCGTCTTGGAGGCCCTTTTTTTTTTGGGGTGTGGGGGGGGGGGGGGGGGGGGGGGGCCTTATGGAGGCCCCCTTGGAGGCATTCTCGGTCAGGCCTATGGGCGGCATGGGTGCCATGGGCGGGGCATCTTGGGTGCTTGTTTGGGGCGATGTCGGTCGACCTCATGGGCGTCCTGGGCCCGTCGGAGAGCTGGAAAAGAAGAACATGCCAAACATCCTTCAAAAACTTTAGGAAAAACAATGAATTTACCTATTCGGGCCTTCCTGGAGGGCGTCTTGGAGGGCTCTATGGGCCGTCTGTGGATGCTTTTGCGGGCCCTTTTGGCCGTCTAGTACCATCTTGGGGACATTTGGGCGTCTCTGGGCATCTTGGAGCCATCTTACCCGTCTTGGAGGCCATTTTGGCCGTCTTGGAGGCATCTTGGAGGCCATCTTGGGCCATCTTGGCCGTCTTGGAGGACATCTTGGGCAAAGTTGGGGCAACAAAGGCATTGACAGATGGATTTTCGGAAACTTGCGGGTGGCCGGCGGGACGGGCCGAAGCCCACTGGGGAGTTCTTTTAGAAAAGAACCAAAACCAAAACCTGAAACATCCAGCACGCCGTGCACCCCTGTGGCAAGACCACAGGGGGCGGCGGATCTACTGGCCTTCGGCCCATCCTGCCGCCGTGTCTAGGTTGTAGGTCAGGGGCCTCTCGGGGCCCTCTTGCCCGTAGTGGGACGCTCGTGGCTCCGAGAATGTCCTGCGGGAAGCGCCGAGGAAGCGCCGAGGAGCGCGTGAGGCGCGGGAACCCCTTTGGAACATTTTAGAATTCTTGGTCGGGGCCTTGAGCATTCAGTCCCGAGGACTGAGGACTGAGGGCTACAAGGTACCTGTTGAGGGCACTCCAACTCGTGCCTCGCGGCAACGGTGGCGGATTACCAGCAGGGGACCTACCAGCAACATCTGGCTGCAAGGGAGCTCAAGAAGCTGTCGTGGCGGTACAACACAAAGTACTTCTCCTGGTTCCTACGCCATCAGGACCCCGTGCTGGTGGAGAGCGAGTTCGAGCAGGGCTCGTACGTCTATTTCGACGTCGAGAAGGAGCTCGAAGAAGGTACTACCACAGCAAAGCTCCAGCAGCACAGTTCAAGAGGCGGGTCGCGGAGCACAAACGTGCATTCCCAAGTCTTCCGATGGACCCTTAGGGAACGCACGAAGTGCGATAGGGTTTTGATTTTTTGGGCGTCAGAAATGTACGCGGAATTGGAGTCCTGGCTTACGTGTACCGGTGGTACGCGGGACTGGAGCTGTGGCAATGGGAAGAGCAGGAAGACCACGGAGAGCACGGCCATGTTCACCTTTTGCGCGTTTATTCAGTAGGGGCCCGACCACAAGAACCTTCCAATGAAGAAACGCAACCCGGAGGGCCCAGAACGTCCATAGGTTTTTGGTCTGGGAATGTCACGCTTTCCATCGCAAAACCATCGACACCCACGAAACGCTGTAGGTCCAGACCAAACATGAGTCCAGCGCGAGGGAGAGAGCACGCTTCCTGCATGAATCGTGACAGGATCGCGGGGAGAGAGCTGCCGGACCACCGCCGGCCTAGGCGATCTCGGGCTCCCCGTGCCTTTTGTGGGCTTCTCTTGTTCGTCCTCCTCCTCCTTCTCCTTCTCCTCCTCCTCCTCCTCCTCCTCCTCCTCCCCCTCCTCCTCCTCCTCCTCCTCCTCCTCCTCCTCCTCCTCCTTCTGTGAATAGAGGAAGCGCCGTCATAACCTTCCAGCGAAGCGCTGCGCTACTAGGGAATAGGCATGAACTGTCAGAGCACTGCACGGCTTACTGGGACCGGCGGCGCCTCCGGCGCCATCCCTGGCGCGCTCCGCGCGCCAGGCAAGGGGGGCCCAGCGCCGAGCAATCCGCGCGGACCTTGGACAGTTCATGATTATGCAGACGGTGTTCCTCTAGGAGTGGTGCCAGCGAGTCAAGCACAACTTCAAGTTCGAGTATGAGTTCTTAGAGGACGAGCCCATGTGATGCCTGCGGCCACAGGCGTCCTTGTCTCACCCCGCGGACGGGGGGCGGTCGTGGCGGCGGGAGTCTGGGTCCCGCGGGGCGCGGGCCTGGACTGAGGCGCAGGCCAGCGACGCCTTGTTGTCAATTGTCTAGTTCGAGAACATGTTACGGAAGGAGTGTAGTCTGGCGCGAGAAAATGTGGAGCGGGACGCTGGTTTGCTCTTACATGTTTAGAGCACGATGCCACTGGTTTGCGCGAGCACGGTTTCGGCATGGGCACAGGGCATGTGCGGTCAAGTGATGTACGGTTGGTGCGGGTTTGCATGATCACGGCATGTGCGACCACGTGACATGCGAATTTTCTGTATAAGCCGTGCCCTGAGGAGCATTCAGCCACAGACCTCGCTCATTGGACTTTTGAGGTGTCTCTGTGCGCCTCATCATGACCTCAGGCCTCATCATGACACGCGTAGTGCCCTGCTCCTACCTGCCTTTGGCGTCGTCCAGTGATGTGGTACTCCCTTCCAGCCTGCCATCTGTGCTTGTTTCCAGTGAGTGTTTTTTGATGTTGATGATTGTTTCCACCATCGTCCTGTTGCCTTCGTCGATTCCCCCTGCTTTGGGAACCTCCGCTCCGCATGTTCGCGGCGTGCCAAGATCGCAGTGAGCACGGAAAGAACATCGGCAGGGGTGCCCAGGCGGGTCCCGGATCTGAGGACGTAGCCGAAACGGCGCCCCAAGATAGGCAAAAGTTGAGGTGCTCACAAACCTCGGCGGCGAGCCCAGGTGGGATGCGAGAGGGGGCAGGCCTTTTCAGAGGCGCTCGTGCCTTCCGAGGTGCCGCCCGTGGCTTCGGAGAAGGCTCACGCGAGGCTCCTCAGAAGGCCACTGTCAGGCAGTGGCGAGGCGTCCGGGCGTGCTCCCACCAAACAATGCTCTAAGAATTGTTCGTGGTTTCGACGACATGTTCTCAGAACAGTTGTGGCCAGGAGTGTCTTGTTTGAACACATCGTGCTCACGTTCTAAGAACATTGTTTTTTTCTGAGAACACTGCTTGGTTCTAGGACTATCCTGCACCCGACGGAGGGATTGCTCGCAAGGGTCCCGCAAGCCACGCCTGCAGCACCCGGGGCCCTTCTGGAGCCCCTGGGCCCCTGGGACCCTTCTGGAGCCTCGCGATGGGTGCGCTGGAGTCCGTGGCTGCCTCCCTGGAAACCCTCGGCCGCCTACGATCCGATTCGATGCGACTCGATCCGCCGGTTGGGGCCGCGATCCCGCTCGGATGCGATCGGGCTCTGCTCACCGGCATCGGCCAGGGCCAGCCGCAGAGGGGGCGCGGCGATTCGCTGCCGATCCGAGTCGGGACGAGACTCGCTGGCGATCCGGCCCGCCCTCGATGCGGTCCGAGGTCGCGATCCGATCCAGCGCAGACCTGCCTCTTGCCAGGGGCCCTCGAGGAGGAGGCGGAGGAGGAGGAGTAGGAGGAGAAACGATGAGGAGAACGAGGAGGAGGAGAACGAGGAGGAGGAGAACGAGGAGGAGGAGGAGAACGAGGAGGAGGATAACGAGGAGGAGGAGGAGAGTGAGGAGGAGGAGGAGGAGGAGGAGGATAACGAGGAGGAGGAGGAGGATAACGAGGAGGAGGAGGAGGAGGAGGATAACGAGGATAACGAGGAGGAGGAGGAGGAGGAGGAGGAGGAGGAGGAGGAGGTCCAGGGGCGGCCCCCCGAGACCCCGCGGGGCCGCCCCGCGGGGGCGCCCCAACAGCGCCCGCCCAGGAGCTGCCGCGGGGAGCGGCGGCGGGCGGCACGCCCCGGGAGCCCCCGCACGAGTCGGCCGAGAGCACGGCGGCCTCCGAGGGCGCCCTGTCGGCGCGCCGCCGCCGCCACCCGTGACGAACGAACAACACACACCCATACCCAGAAGGGGTTCGTTGGGAGGAGGACTGGCCATGGGTATGGGTGCGGGTTGTCGGACCTTGGGGAACGCTCCCGTTCGAGCGGGGGCCCCCATCCGACAACACGCACCCATAGCCCTTTCCGAACCCCCCTATGGGTATGGGTGTGTGTTGTTGGTTCGTCAACCCGAGCGATGCCCCCCCCCCCAAAGAACGGGTTCGACTGCGCTGACGCTCGCGCGTAAGTTTTCAGTCGGCCGCCGCCGCCACCCGTGCGGGCAATATTTATGTCCATGTCCAGTGCGTCTTGGACTTTCTTGGAAGGGGCGCCGCAAGGCCGAGGCGCACTGGATACGGATAGAAATCGAGCCTTCTGGGGGCAGATTCTAATCCATATCCAGTGCGCCTCATGTTTCTTGGGAAGAGCGTCCGAAACGCCAAGACGCACTGGATGTGGATAAAGGCATTGCCCGCAACCCGAGCGATGCCAACAACAAAAACGGGTTCGACTGCGCTGACGTTCGCGCGTAAGCTTCAAGTCGGGCGTGTCCCTCTACCGGGGGATATATAGTCAAACAGAGTCCAAACATAGCCTGGGGACGATTTCTGGACCATTGTTGTATATGTTGCCAATTTTTCCACTCTTTTGATTTTTGTTGCCCAAAATCGGCCTGTAGGGGGACAGGCCCGACTTACGCGTAAGCTGCCTGCGTAAGGTCGCGCGTAAGCGCCCTCGTCTCCACTGGCTTGCCGCGCTGTCGGCCCGCGTAAACCACCGCGTAAGGTCGCTGTGCCATCTCGCGCAAGGCCCGGTCATGATCGTCGCTCACCTTCCCTGAGATCATGGCGTAGCAATTTTGGCACAACGGGCGCTCCGTGCCTGGTGGTGTCGGGGCCCGGGCACGGATACTCGGAGGCCGAATCGCGAGGAGATATCGCCCGGAGGGGTCGAGGGGATGGGGTCGTCGGAGGTCGGGGGCAGCCCCACCCCGTGCTCCATTCAGGAGGGGAAGACACACACACACAGACACAAGGAGTCGTCGACTCCCAGAAAACATGGGAAAATATGGGCAGTGTGGGGGGGAAGACGAAAATAAAAAAATATAGGAAGACACGGGGGATCCTTTTATGTGTGTGTACTTATTTGTGAGTCCAAGGGCTTCTTCATCCATGGCATGTTTTTGCTCCTCGAGGTTTTCCTCGAGGTCCCCTTTGTTAGGATGCAGCTCTTGGGAGGTTAACATTCCGAATCGGCGCTGGTGTATCCCTGGTTGAAAACTGTTCATGCTTGATCCGGTCTGATTCCGCTTAGTCTGGCTTGATCCTGGCCAATCCAGCTCAATCGTAGGCCTTAATCTTTTTTACTTTGACACCGTGGCTCTGAATTGGCCTTAATCGCTCTGAATCGTGCTGGCGAAGACCTCCCAGGATCATGACGCCACTCACCGTAGACGCGCTAACGGTGTGTTAGCTAACGGCGATGTATGATAATCAATTCTTGACGCATCGCGTGTCCCAACCAGCCCATCCAGAAACGATGCCCATGAGAGTTGACAGGGGGAGAGAGGAAGAGACACGCATAGTCAAACAGCGATGGAGGCTTGGGAGGCTCCGTGGCCATCTCGAGCCGTCTTGGAGCGGTCTTGGGGACGCTTGGAGCACCTTGGGAGCCATCTTGAGCCAGCTTGGGCTATCTGAGCCATCTTGGAGGCCATCTTGAGCTCTCGGGGGCCGCTCGGGGGCCTCGTGGGGGCCTCTCGGGTATCTGTTGGAGTCCTCTTGGGGCTTCTCGGGGCGCTCTTTGGGCCCTCTTTGGAGCCTCCTGGGAGCCCTGGAGGGCCTCTTGGGGCCATCTTGGAGGCGGTCGGTCAAAAGAGGGGGGGGGGTACTCGATTTAGGTCCCCCCCTCGGGGGCCATGATCCTCGTGAGGGGTGGCAAAACATGGCCCTCCTTAGAGGAAAGAGACCCTCCTTAGACCACCTGTGCCACTCACTGTAGACGCGCTAACGGTGTGTTAGTTAACGAGCTAACGGCGATGTCGGATAATCAATTGTAGGAAAACATGGTTCGTGGCCAAGCCACTTGTAGGAACGCGTGATTCGTGCTTTCCTAGAATTCGCTGTGACGTTCTCTCTGGATACACTCGCATATCTGAATGTAGCAAGCGTGGTTCGTGATGTCCTACCTTTGTTCTGCGTGAGCTCGGTGTCACAACAACCAGATTCCTAACCGCACAGTTAGCCAACCACGCTCTTGGACTTTAAACGGAGAAGGTTAAAGGCGAGGTATAAATCGAGCATGTACCGCTGCCGTGCCTGGCTCAAGCCGGGCCCGGCCAGATATGTGACTGTGCCTCACTGAGGCGCACTACTTGCATCCGAGATCGGAAAACATCCTTTTCCATTGACGATGCCCATCCTACTCTGTACTCCAGATCCCATGCTTCGTCTCGCTCTCTTGCTCATGCGCTATGAGCCTAAGCCTGGGATATGGAAGCGCCTAAGGCGGACTGTATACCTAAGCTTACCAGCTTGTTTTCGACTTGGTAGCGGAGCTGGCTACACTCTCGTGTGGCTGGCTTTCGCTCTGATTCCTGTAATCCACGGCACAACTTGGTGGACTACTACTACGGTGGAATACCATGTTGCGCCGGCTCTGCGAGGAGCGGAGCCAGTCCGCGATCGAGCTAGCGGGGCAACCCGCGAACTCGAGACGCTCTCTCCTACCTCACTGCGCTACTTCACTCCCGACTTCCACCAGATGCCAATCGGCACCTCGATCGAGAACGTGGTCACCCTGCGGGGCTACCCGCAGCGGGGCCACCTGCATCCCGTGCCGGTCAGGCGCCTCACGGCTACCACGCCAGAGCCTGACAAACCACAGCCCAAACCAATCACCGAAGCCGAAATGCACATGCATTGGATCAATATAACTATCTTCGGCATTCTGTGGGTAATAATGGGATGTGCTGTGGGATACATGCGGCAGGGGATGGACGACACGCGTACTACTGGCCCTTCATGGGACCCTGCCGGTACTACGCCTTTTCGCGAATACGTTCGCGAAGTACATGCATGGTTAAACTTAACGAGTGGCAA